CGCTGTTCCAAACACTCGGCGGCGCAGTCTTCACAGCCGTCGGCCAGAATTTGTACATACACAAGTTCTCGTCTGGTCTGGAGCAAATCGGAGGTCTGGACCCTCAAAAGATCCTAGACGCAGGAGCCACGAACCTGACGACTGGTGTCACTCCAGCTATCAAGGCCCTGATACTCGCAGCCTACAACGACTCACTGACCCATGGAACGTTCTTTGCGGCACTTGTCATAGCTTGTCTTGCGATACCAGCTGCTGTAGGCATGGAATGGCGAAGCGTCAAAGCAAAGCCAGACACGTCCGTACAGCGACTCGATGAGAAGCGGGATCAAAAGCCACAGCAGCCCCGTGGTATCCTGAAAGCCCCAGCCAATGGTGCGGGTCGGCAAGAAGGGAACCAGCCGGCGGTGGCGGAGCCCGCGCCAGCTTTGAAGAAGATGTTTAGGCAAAGCGGGCAGTTTGCGTCGTATTTGACAGCCACCATTAACCCCGACCTCCGTGATCAACTGGGCCCGGGGAAGCAAGTTCGCAGGTGACGAAGCTGGTCCTTCTTTCCCGGAATTAGATTTATGGATGAATGCGAGGTCCTTTAGCGTGTAATGATGATAAGGCGGATACCATATCACATCGTATCTCTGCCATTAATGCATAATGTATTAGCCATTAGTTCTTCCTTCCTGTCGTTGTCTGCTTGAAGTCTGTCGTCTTTGGTGCTGTTTCCAAGCGTCCTACGTGTTGTGAGGAGCGAAAATGTGCAAGCTTACAACACGTTCCTTGATTTTCGCAAGGTAGCAGACTTCGGGGCCTTTCCGATTCGTAGCTCACCGACCAGGTAATGCGTAAGCGAAGCTTCCAAGCCATGTCGCTGATCATCCCACGTCCAGGACGAGCAATCAAGCAAAGCCGAGATCTAGCGAAGCTTTATTAACCATATGGATGCTTGAGCCCCACTTTTGCGATATCATTTCTGTTTGATTGAGATGATAGACGGTTGGGTCGGTATTGCTATCAGGCTCCGACATGCATCTGCTCTGCCAACACGGGCGTGATCATCGCCGTGAAGCCGCCCTTCTCGCGGTGAAACCACACTTCGGTGGTTTTGGGGGTCGGATAGGTGCGTCATCCGGGCCAGCTCCGAGATTGCGTGTATACCATTGGTTGTTCGTAAACCTAAAGCTTGCTGACAACCACCACCAGGTCGTACTCAGGCAGGCAGTCTGCTGTGCAATCTGTAAGAGCCAACAACAAGACTAGCGACAAGCATTATATGCCAATGGCGTTTCCAGACGTCTCATCTCGCCGCGCACGGTTCGTCAGCCCATGTATTCCACTCACAGCTGGCGCGAACGTGGCCGTACTACACGTCAGATGCTCCAACGCAATTAGTGATCCGATCTCACAAAGGACCGAATGTTAAGTCGATACCGGATCGCACTTCCCACGGTTCCCCACAGCTGTCAGGCGTCGTAGCATGGTCATGCCACCTAGCTGGGTCGGTCTCAAGTAATGCGCAGCGATGGGGCGGCTATCGTATAGCAGTTACGAGCTTTCATCCAGATGGTGAGCTGACGCTGATAAGCTCTGGCATGGTGAGAATGAGCCGCAGCTGTACAATGCGGCTCATGTCGGACCTGTTGTTTCGGAGATCATAGTGGAGAGACGAATATGATCGACGCCGCATTTAGAGAATGGTGCATATCTGCATGGCGACGTTTATGGTGTTTTGTATAAGAGCCGATACATCAGGACACCTTGAAACCCAGTCAGTACTGGAAGGCTGATCGTCGTTACTGTTCAACCTTCTCTTTTGCGATAAGAGGTGCAACATCTGGCACTATGGCTTCCCAACACGTTCACATCGTCCTCAGCGTAGCATGGCAAGACGCTGGAGACACGACACGTGCCATTGCAATGGCTATCGCGTTACGGGATATGTGCCCGTCCAATATCAATCTGCGAATCGACTTTCTGTCCTGTGGCGCGCGGTTCGAATATCAAATCACGGACGCTGGCTTCAACATTGTCCCAGCTCAACCACGCGTGAAGGGCGTCTCCGTTGCACATGACCTTGGATGGGACTGGCCCGAGTTCTTCGGTTCAGAAGAAATCGCAAAGTCATTCATCGATGGCCAACTTGCAGCGTTCAAAGAGTTGAAGCCGGACATTGTGTTCCATGGCATGTGGGCTCCAGCGTCTATTGCTGCGCGACTCCTAGGGATCCGAACGATCAACTTCCTCCCGGTTCCGTTGCATCCTGGGGCCTTTGCTCACGGCCTGATTCGCGATCTTCCAGATATGATGCCATTGTTCACGCGGCTTCCACGACCAGTCCGACAGCGCATGGCATGGTGGGCCAGCGGCTTGATGGTGAACGCTCCTATCTTCCGACAGAAGCGCCTAGGAGCAGCAGCAGCAGCCTGCGGATGGCCAGTCACGGGCCCCATCTCCCTCTTCGACATGAACATGGCCGATCTCAACTTGGTCAACGACCACCCCGTATTCCATCAAGAATATCTGCACCGCCTCCCAAAGAACATAGTCCTCACAGGTCCTTTGTACGCGCGAAACGACTCGAAGCTGGACGAAGACATATCGGCACATCTGACAAAGGGTCCTGGTCCATCGATCCTAGTTACAATGGGCAGCTCGGGAACGGAAGAGTTCTTGTTCGAAGCGATCAAGGCTCTACGATTGAACCCTGACGACAATTGGAACGCAGTCGTGCTGGCTTCGAAATCCATCTGCGACATCGACAAGGCAATTGAGATCGCTGGCGGAGATGCGCGGCTCCTGGTGACTGATCGATTCATCCCAGCACCGGCTGCCAATGCGCTCGCCGACCTCATTGTCACACATGGAGGTCAAGGGACTGTCCAATGTGCCTTGGCTGCAGGAAAGCCTATTGTCGGTGTCGCGCTACAAGTCGAGCAGCAGACGAATTTGGACAACGCCATGAATGCTGGAGCAGGTATTCGCGTGCAGAAACAGTTCTGGAAGGCCAAGAACATTCGCAGCACGGTGTTGACGGTGCTCAAGGATCCTTCTTATGCAGCGAGCGCGCGGATGCTAGCGGAGACGTTGAATTCCATGGACGGCGCAAAGACGGCAGCAGAGGTGATGTGGAAGTTTATCGTCGAGGAACAGACGGAGAAGGTCAAAGTTTAGGTTTGACAAGCAAGCGTGCCATGGTGTCATGGTGTCATGATGCTGGCGCGCTAAGTTCGCCGGCTGAGAACGCGACGCGTTTTGGTTGGCCAGACCGTTGTTGCTGACGCCGGGCAGTCCGCGTAGAGACATTTTCCATATCCTGGTGTACTTTAGAGGTTCAAACGTTCTCTTCATAGCAATGCGACCTGTAGGAGTGCAACCATGACGGTCATGAACGCGTTGTATCTCGGGTGGAGGAGAGGAGACACGTGAGAAGCGTGCCGACGCGCGCCGCGCGCTAGTGGCTTGGCAAGCTCATAGCACTTTCCAAACATGCGGCCGCCCCTGGACGCTCTTTCCATCCTCTTTTCCAGCACCATCTCCCGCGTCTACACTATCGAGGTCTCATGCGTATCCTCTCTCTTTATGTGCGACCATGCATATCTTTGCGAAGGCCCTAATATTCGAGTTACGACCCATACCTGAAGGACCACGAGGGTTCTTCGCGCAGGAGTGTAACAAGGCCTCGCGTGTTTCACCGAAACCTCCGCTGTTCGCTGGAGTCTTGCCGTGCACACAAATTGGTAGTCATCGCATTTGCATAGGGCTCGGCCAACACTACTGTCATATCGGACAGCTTGGAGCATTCCTGTCACAGTGAGAGGTTTCTTTAGTGGTATCTTGGGATTGTTGTTGTATTCTCCTGCTAACAGATAACGCCAGCAAAGGCTCGTCCATCAGCCAGCCGCCCCCTCGGTTTCCACCATCATTAATAGAGCCTCTTACTGGTCGTCGCATGCCCCCGCGAACGTCCGTTACGCTCCCCTTCACATATTTGCACAAGTCCGACACGCACGCTGATCTTTCTTTCCTCGCACTCCTTCGTCAACCATAGTCCCAAACCGCGTAGCGCTCTCTCATTGGACTGATCTTTACATATGCAGACGTCGGAACTGAACTCATTCAACGTGAGATATCGCAGAGTAGTGCACACGAGTAGTTTCTCCAACCTGTACTTCTGCACTATTTTCGCCACGGAGTCTGCTGTTGGCTCATTGACTCTGTATTCGACTCGCGCCAACACACTTGTACACATTCCGATACGGAGGCTCTGGAGCGCTGGGAACTTGTCTATGTGACTGAGCAAAGTTCTGATGTTGTGCATGCCTCCTGATATCAACGATCTTAGGCTGCCAAAAGCGTTGTTGGTTGTGAGAAGCGTAGTAAGTCGATGTATGTTGCGATAGCCTCGGACTTGAACATGGGATTTAACGAGGACGACTGGTGTGATATCTTTCCTGATTGCGGATGATACCTGGGAAATGCATGCTGCGCCGTAGTAAGGTCTCAGGGGGTAGGCTTTGATGTCGGTGTTTCCCCCAGGAACCTTCACAAACATAACGACGTATTTTTCGACTGCACCCCCAAGCACTGCTTCATAGACAATATCTCTTAGCTCTCTTGGAAGTTTGCCAAGATCTCCAAGGCCAGTGGCGGGTGCTTCGGTGGGCGCGAGATCATTCTTGTCTCTGGGATTGAGGAAGATTGCGAGGCTACCCATGATTTTGGCCGAGTAAGAAATTGAGACCAGTGGTTGTCAGTTCAGCGCATTCTCATAGTCGGTGCGGACTCATAAGCGCAGGGAGTCATACGTCATGTCAAAGTGACGAGCAGGTCAGTGCTGTTGGCTTCACTATACCTATCGCAATTACTAGGGTTGCTAAGGAAAACAAGAAGGATCGTTTGCTGCCTAAACACCATGATCGAGGTAGAAAAGCCGACCGTGCACTTCAAATTCACTCGACGAAGTATCCCTGGCAGTCTAGCCCGAGTATTAGATCTTGGCTAACACGACTATGCAGGATAGAGACTTCGACGAAGATCCTTTCTCATCTCCATCGCCTGCCCAAAATCCGATGGAACAAGCTGCACCTACTCGATCTCGCCGAGCGCAATCCACACCCGGTTATTCATTGCCTGCACCGCCTCCAGCGACCCCTAGCGACTCTTTCGAGGCGACCCATACTCTAGAAAGCAGCCCGCTCTCCCACATGACCCCTCTACCGGCCTCTGGTCTGTGGCAATGGACAGCCCAAATGGAAGGTCGACCCACGTCTCTACCAATGTTACCGTTCACGACTCGAGGATTTCGCAACCCCGATGCGGTTTCGGCTTTCCATCGCTTCGAGACAACCATCTCAGCAAACCTCTCCTTCGGCATTCGATTCATGTGCGACGACTACGAACATTCCGGGGTAAACTTCGGTTTAGCTGCGCTGCAGATCCTACTCACACAGCTCACTGGTACCGACGACTTCGTGGTTGGTCTGGGTCGAGCTTTGAAAGGCAAGGGCGATACTATGCCAGTGCGTTTCAAGGGCGACTCGCAACACACCTCCAACCAACTCTTAGAGCAGACTAAAGCGACCATGGGCGTGCCTAGACGGTATCTTCATGTACCAGTCAAGAACTTGTTATCCGAGTTGAATATCTCGAAGCAGACACTTCTCCATCAAGTCACCTTCGACTGGATTGCTCGTGGATATCCTACCTCTCCGACTACCGATATGTACTTCGAGCATGTTCAAGACCTCGTCTTAATTGTACGCGAAGACCTCGACCGCAACCTAGTTGTATTCGTTGGCCTGGACGAGAAGACGTATGACAAAGAACATGCTGAAGTGGTGGCGGAGATGTACATCCAAGCAATGACGCAAATGGTCGCTCAAAGCCAGACTACTAGCATCATCGACATGGACCTTATACCCCAAGAAGAGCGTGAGCAAAGTATGGCGTATGGCGCCGGGCCTGAGCACCAAGTCTCCTTCAGCAGCATCCTCGAAAAGCTTCAACAGATCGCAACAACGACTCCCGATCGTGTCGCTGTAAAGGACGAACAAAACCAAAAGATTACCTACGTCAACCTCATACGTCGCGCGGTCGCCATGTCTTCCGATTTGAAGAAGCACGAAGTCGCTCGTGGTACTCCTGTGTGCGTGCTTGGTCCACCAACCATTGATCTTCTTTGCAGTATCATCGCGATATGGTGCGCTGGCGGTGTCTACGTTCCGATAGATTACCGCCTGTCCGTTGATGACAACCTTCCTATCGCTAAGAACTCCGACACAATGTTCTGCATCGTCAGCACGCCAGATCTAGTTGACTACGCACTGAAACTCCAACTTGGTACCGTGTTCTTCTGCGGCGACATGGTCTTCACGGAAGGTTTCGACAACATCGAGGAGCCGCTGCCAGACGATCTTGCTGTGGGACTGCATCTTCCGTCGTCCGATGGTCTGCCAAAAGGCGTCGTTTTGACACACGAGAATTTGAAGGTGCTTGTGGCTTCCACTGCCTACTACTTCGAAGAAGAGAAGCCGATCGTATTGCAGCACAGCAACTGGACGTCGGAGATGTCGCTCTTCCAGATTCTGTTCGCCTTGACGTCTGGAGGCACACTCTTCCTAGCCGCAGACTCATCTCCCGCCAATGTGACCAAAGTCATGGTGCACCAGAAGATCACCACTACTCTTGCTACACCATCCGACTACTCACTTTGGTTCCAACATCCTCGTCACATGCTCAAGGATTGCAAATCTTGGAAATTCGCGTTGAGTGGCGGAGAAAACATTTCATCGAGCGTTGTTCGCAACTTCACTGAGCTTCAACTCAACAACCTGGAGCTTGCAAGCTTTTACGGAGCGACTGAGACGACAATCGCTTCCTCCATGAGCTTTGTCGACTACAAGGCGTACGCGGGTAACAAAGAAGGCCAGCTCATCCCTGTGGGAACCGCGTTGCCGAACAACCACATCTGGGTAGGCGACCATCTGGGCAGACCACTTCCTGTAGCTTGGACTGGTGATATCTGGGTCGCTGGTCCGGGTGTTGGGCCATGCTACTTTGGCTCTAAGGCCGACGACCATCGTTTCCAGACACATTCTGGAACTGGTGTGAAGTGTTTTCGGACAGGAGACTGGGGTTTCATCAACGATACTGGGGTACTTTTCGTCACGTCGCGACGCTTGGACGAGTCAACCGCGCAAGTAGGCGGCTTTCACATCGAGCTTGGAGATGTCTCGCGGACAATTGTTGACCAGGCCAAAGGGAGAGTGGTGGAAGCGGCCGTGGTTCTCCACGGTAACGAAGAGCAGGAAGAACCGCAGATTCTGGCTGTTGTTGTCATGGCCGGGACATTCAATGCTGCATCGCGCCGGTATCTGCTGAAGTTGCTTCGCGGACTCAATCTTCCCGCTTACATGCGTCCGACCCGCGCCGTGATATGGCAGCAGCTACCACGCACGTCTGGAGGAAAGATTGATCGTCGTGCCGTGATGGCAACTGCGATACCAGATACCGACATCATCCGGGTCATGTAACCGATGAGCTTCCTCGTTGGGTGAGTCATAAGACCTTTGGGGTTTTCTGCAAGCGTTGGATGTTATGGATGTGTGGAAGAAAGCTGTCATCTATAGATGCATGTATGTAGAAACCGCAACACCTTTGTATCATTAGACAGAGAAGCAATGTGACATGTGTTTCGATAAACGAGGGGCTAAAATGCGAAGAATATGCCCCTCCTCCCCTCCAGAGCACCCATCACCCCTCCATCTCCGCCTCACGCGACCCATTGCGGCTCGCGCCGCATATTGCATGCCGCAAAGAATGCATCCATGACCAGAACACAGCCCGCCAGCTCACGAGCTTCTGTATGCTTCCGGTGACTTCCAACACCAAGGCAGCGTATGAGCCCAACTCCCCCACATGCCCCGCCAATCAGAACCTGCCATCTTTCGCACCGGCGGCGTCACCGCACTTTGGGCCATGCAGATGCAAAACAACTAGCTAGCGCTGCGCGGGAGCCCAAAACAACGCGTCTTCTTAAATGTTAGGATCCCCAGATTTTTCTGTCGTTTAGTACTTTTCCTGCCTTTTGGTGATTGCGTGACGTTTGCCAGTTCTGAAGATGGCGGAATTAGTTGTTGCGGGCCCGCCTGCCCCACCTCCGATGACGTTTCGCGATCGGTTGTCGCAGTTTAGGATTCTGGAGGAGAAGAGGTGCGAGCTTATTGAGGTATGCTGCTGATGGCTTCCTGGGTACCATCATGGTTTTGACGATGGAGTAGGAACTCCTAGACAAGCTCGAAAAGACAGAAGCACGCCTCGCACAGTGTGAACTCGACCTCGGCTCCGAACAAAATGTCAGGCGGACGTTGCAAGCGGAAATCGCAGATGTCACGCGGACGATGCAAGGGCAGCTGTCAGAGTCTAAGGCAAAAGAAGAGGCTCTATTGCAGTCGCAGTCCAAACGGCCGTTCGTTATGGTGCTCATAGATGCCGATGCCGAAGGCTTCCTGGTATGTATTGTAGTACACTTCTAGTCGTGCATCTCAGCTGACCGTCCCAGTTCCAAGACAAATACATAACACGAAAGGCTCAAGGCGGCGAAGCATTAGCAGACGAGCTGAACATACGGATCAGGGAATACTTGCGGGAGCTGTACGAAGATGCCGACTCACTCGACATCATCGTCCGCATATATGCCAACTTGGAGGGTATGGCCAACTACCTTGTACGACTTGAGAAGGTTCGGAACTTGGGTCAGCTACGAGCCTTCTCGACTGGCTTCTGCGGCAGGATAACGAGCTTCGACTGGATCGACACTGGAGTTGGCAAGGAAGGCGGAGCAGGAAGAAAAGTGCGAGGTATGTATCTACGCATGCTCGAGGTGGAAGGTCGCGAAGTCGCTAACATGACACAGAAAACTTGTCGTTCTTCGCATCGAACACACACCTGCGGCACACAATAGTCGCATGCTCGCCCGTCGACCTACCCGCTTCTCTTCTCACTTCCATACCACTCGAGAAGCTGACGCTGATCGAATCTCTCCCGCTACCTTCGTCGCTTACAACACTCCCTCTGAAAACCGCCAAGTTCCCCTCTCTCTTCCCTCCCCCGCCACCCGCCAAGAACGCAAAGCCCAGTCGAGAGCGCGGCCGAAACGAGCGAGGACTAAGCGAAACTGATGTGAGAAGAGGAGACAGGGACATGCGAAGAGGAGATGAGAGAGGCGGAGGACCACAACTGCAGCTCATGGAACAAGAGCATGAAGGGGGCGGCTCAACGTGGCTGGTCATACAACCCGAGAGGAGTAAGAGCCAGGCTGTCAGCGGGCGGGACAGAGACAGAGACAGGAGGAGGGCTCCAAGCGAAGACGATACCAGCAGCTTGAGTATCAGCATCGGGCCAGACAACACTGTTAGCGTTGACAGTGGGAGGCGGCGGAGATTGATGGGTTAGTCTCGGTTTGGCATACGGGATCTGGGATCTCCGTTGCGGAGGAAAGCTGTCACGTCGCGTACTATTTGATGAGTTTGATAGCATGGCATAGCATAGCGTAGCGGCATATATTCGTAATATTCATCGTACGCTGGCATAGTGGCGGGTAGTCCAGCCCAAAATTTACAGCGTTTGTCGGAAGCCTTCTTGGCCCTCCAGAATCCTCTCTCCGCGATCAGCCTGGCGGTTGGCTCGTGAGTAGACCCAGAAGTTTTTCAGCACATGTAATATGCTCAAGACTTGGGTAGCGATAACAACAGCCATGGCGGGTCTGTACAAATCAGCTTCCTATTCCCATACATCATGATGCATGTAACTTACATGTACTTCGGCGCATCCTGTTGTCGGAAGATGTTCGACGCTGCGATACCTCCGCAAGCTCCACCTCCGATCAACAACGCACTCGCAACACTCCTCTTCATCTGACCCACGATGTTGTTGTGCATATAGCTCAATATGCTCGGCACATTCGCGTTCGCACCACTGACGCCTAGAAAGACTCCGGCATACCGTGCGCGAGCGTTGCTGAGGAAAGCCATCATGCATACTCCCAAGACTGCCCATGCGCAGTTGAATACGATGATTGCACCGCGCATCCTATATTTGTCGGCGACCCATGCCGTACCGAACATCCAAGCGGCAGCCAGGACATATGGCGGGAAAGACAGGATCTGGCTCATGGCGACAGAGTAACCCATGTCGTTGCGGAGGATGATTGGCAGGAAGTATCCCCAGCTGTATGCGACGACGTTGTTGAGGAAGTAGAGCCATGCGAACTCCCAGATCTTCCAGTCGCGGAGATGTTTGGCGATGGTTGGCCAAGTGAGCTTGTCAGCGACGGCATCGCCGCGGTCGCGTTGAATGCGGGACAGAATTATGTTGGCTTCCGCGGGGGTTAAGAAAGGGCGTTTCGTGATCGGGCTGGGCTGGCTGGCTTTGTCGGGAAAGTCTATTATAGTTAGGTAGCCCATGAAGCCTAGTAGAACGGTGATTGCACCCTCCTAGGATATGTCAGTGGTTGATGTAGGTAGATAGACAGGGGCCTGACTCACGATTGCGAAGATCCATTGCCATCCGTTCAGCCCTCCTAGGCCTCGCATCTCGCTCAGTCCCCAAGCCAGGATGTTTGAGAAACCACTTGCAAGGAGCGCTAGTAGGTAGAACCCACTGAATCTCTTTTGCACTTCAAACCTCACATACCAACAGCTCAGTAGAAAGACACAGCCAGGATAGTAGCCAGCTTCGAGCACACCCAGTATGACTCGGCATCCTAGTGCTTGCGTCCAGTCGTTAGTAAAGCCCATGCCGATTGTCACAGCGCCCCAGCAAATGACCAAAGATGGTAGCCATACGGCAGGGCCGAGTTTTCGAATGATTATGTTTGCCGGAAACTGGAAGATTATGTACGGTATGAAGAAGATCATAGTAAGGATCGAGTAGCGTGAACCGATGGAGAGGCCCAGGTCCTCATCCATACCTGCGATACGCGCCTGGAGACAGAGTCAGTATGCGACATACAACTGCGACTGGGGGTATGCCGTACATTAGGAAGATTAACGCGGTCAATGAGCGCGAAGGCATATATGACAGCGAGCGTTGGTAAAAGCCTGAGATCTATCTTTCGAATGATGCGACGTGTTTCCTTGTCGTCCCTTTCGATGGGTGACGATGCTGGTCCCGAGGAGTCATTCGCTGGATCTATAGCATCTTCGACGTTGACACGATCGTCTCTACCGCCATAGCTTTTGTCGTCGAACAAGATCTTCTGTCGTCAGCGCATCATTTTAGGAGAGCTTGGATGGACACTGACATGCTCCTTTCGCTCGGCTTCAAGGTCCTTCTCTTTGAGCGACATATTGTCTCGTGACAGACTGACTGAAGCACCATGCACTGCACACACATCCTCAACCTTCTTATCGCTGCACCCCCTCCAATTCTCCAACGATAGATCCCCGCCAAACGTCTCCCGAATCGCGGGGTGCAGCGCACATCTTTACTCAATCCGGCTATGACAGACCGTTTGTTGGAGTAAGAACTCGCTTCGCGGGCTTAGCCTCATGCATTGTTACCTACGAAATTCAGCTTCAGCAGCGGAGTGGAGGCTTGGCTGTTGAGATGTTCGAGTTAATGAAGTTCGCGAATGACGTATGTTGACTCGACTTTGCGATGTCAGCGTCGGCAAAGGAAAGGGCGCATGCTTGAGTAGACCATGCCTTCGCTCAATTGCTGGGGCTTCTAGAATGGGTCTCCGTTGGTAGCGACACCACGTTTTGCGCCATGGACTCGAGTGGTCTTCCCGTAGATAGGTAGTTGTAGTTGTGGCAGTCGTGTGGCAAGGCACTTGTGCCATTAGGTATTCATATCGCCATCATCGATAGTCCGGTTGCGTAGAGGACATAGGTATCATGCACGTGAATAGAGAGTGACGCGAACCCGGGATGTCGACGCGATTCCAAGGTTGCTGGTGCTGATCGATGATGACAGAGAGCACGTGACGGTACCGAAAATAGTCTAGCTCTACGCGAAACTTCCACGCTAATCTTGTGAGTCTCCAGCTGGGCAGATGCCACGCCCCAGCGCCTGGCTCGTCCACAGTTCCCAGCGACGACCGCCTCCGTTTGTCCATGGTATCGCACGAGAGTGGTGCTCTGACTGAAACTGCTCACATCGCTTTGTCGATACCACAGCCAACGCTATCACCGACGCGAAATCCGGAACGGACACCCATGTATACAAACCTATCGCTCCCAACAATTCTGCATTCTTGGTCGTGACTTGCATTGTCGCATTACCACTCTGCGTTCCGGAGACACTGTCAGTCGCTTCGAGTATTCCAAGATGTACAGGGCCTTGTACTCTAGACCTGTACAACACTTCTTCGATCACCCCAAGGCGCAAAGTGCACCCGGATCTCACGCGCCACTAAGCAAGCTCGATCCGCTATCAGTGCGTTATCACACCCATCGAGGCGCGAGAACGGGGGTATAAGGAAGACCACAGCATGATGCCAGGGGCTGTGTTTGTCTGTCTGAATACATCCTTACGAAATCCTCCTTCCCACTTTAACGCAGTTATTGTCCTCCATTGACTACCCACAGACGCTGAATCTACTCCCTGCGAAGTGTAGCAAACCCATTTCCAAGCCATCGCCCCCGCTGCCCGACGCGCTATTCGCATCCTCAATCTCAGGCTCGTATGCCGTCATCGGACAAGACAACCACCGCTCAAGCACGATTCTTTTCGTAAACGCATACACCCAACGGCACTGTGCGGTCGCTACCCTCACTCCGCGTCGGAGCTGCTACATACTAGGGTCGTATTAGATGGCAGTATTAGCCACTGCTCGTACTGGATTATGCGCACCATGGGTATTTCGACCGTACGTCTCGCAACACACAATAATCGCGTAGCTTCGATCTGGAACCGAGCAGTGGCATCGCAAGGCCGTGACCTTAAGGTCTTTGGAAGTCGAAGATATGACGGTAGAATATAGCCCTTGTCAGGACGCTATCTTCAACGAACGTGAGAGTACTGCGCTTGGACTCAACTTGGAACATATTCCACACAACATCGGTACGTGCAGGCAAATTGGAGGAGCTCACAGTGAAGAGCGCAATACGAAATGTATTATTCGGGTAAAGATAACTTCCTGCTGGCTGGCCGCTGCCTTCGACGATTACCACGACTTCGCAGAGGCCATTTTTCTGGACTCGAACATTCTTCTATCAGCTATCGGAATGCTACAAGCCTGACCTCAACGCTCTCTCGGGGTTCGTCCGTTGACATGGGATTGAACACCCCACAGTGGAAGCCGCCTGAAACTCTTAGCACATGGGCAAAGGTAGAATGGAATGAACAACGACTTACGAGCGAGCTTGCCGCTGGAGTCAGCCTGACGAAATACAACAAGATCTTTCGGCGTTTGGTCTTTGATGTAATACCACCGATGCGACGCATTATAATGCAGGAGAGAATTCTCGTCGATTCTGTCCCTTCGAAGGCCATCATTCAGGCGGATGTCTGATTCCTGGTCTATGGTCGTCCAGTCGCAAAGCGCCAGTGGCCAGTCATTATTGGGCCCTTGAAGCGGTCGCCAGACACTAATATCGCTATGAGCCAGCTGGACCTCGACATGGGTTCAACACCAATCTTACTTGAGTATATCGAAATCTTTATCTTTCCAGAAGTCTTGTTGGCCTGGAAAGGAGAACTCGAGTTGCATGTATGCGCCACGCACCGAGCCGTCGCTATGCGGTCTTCTCGCTGGCTGTTCGTATTCTGGGTCATACGTACGAACTTTCCCGGGAAACTCTGGGTCTCTCTTGCGGATCTGTGTCGACGTTAGCTGCTTTCGAGCCTATAAGCAGGTGACTGACAGTGCAATCGTAATTTTCGATTCGAGAATATTCTGGAAACCTCTCGTGCAAGATGGCTTCGATCTCGTACCAATACTTCTTCTCTGCCTCTTCGCGGGCATCTGTCCCATCGAACGCGCCTTTACGAGAGAATGCATCCTTGGAACGAAGGCTTGTCTCCGCTTCTATGATACAGAAGCCGTGCTTGTTCAGGTCCCACTGGCTTGGGTCTGTAATTCCGGTCACTGTGACCTCCTTGATGTCGTTCTCGTGGTTCGATCCTCTTGCCCCGGGGACATGGTCGACAGAGTAGTCCGTTTGAAATGCTTTCTCGGTCTTGAAAATCTCGCTACGGGCCAAGTAGTGCATCTGGGTTTGGAACATGTTGGGCTGACTATGGTGAAATTACTCCAAGGTACTGTAAAAACCGATGAGACTGCGGAAAGAAACGCTGCTAGTGAGGTTATAGGGACCATACACGACTGGGAAAAGGGCTTATCGAGGCTCTCGCTGCCCAGAGCTTGACACCAGCACATGGGTCAACGGAACGACTTGGGCCTTATCGACTACCACGTCTGCGAGAAGGCTGTGCCGACCGACCGCAATATGCATCTATCTCCACATATGCAGCTCCGACCATTTCCGGCCAGGAAGTGGTCCAGTAATGAGCGCACACTCGTTTCCATGACGAGACCCCATCCGGTGATCAAAGCCGCCTAAATGAGGGGAAGTTCTTTTCCAATGGTCACGACCCAGCCCTGACGTCTCTTCCCTGCTTATCGTGCATTGCTTCAATTACAAAGCGCCGGAAATGGCTAAGACGTCTTATTGCCCGCGTATTGTGAAGGTACTAAAGAGTCGCGCCACTTCCCACCTTGAGGTGCCTCCCAACATCCTACACAACATACACACTGTATACAATTGATCACTGGTCAACCGTCAAACTTCGTTTCGATAGCCATGCCTTCCGAGGAACAGCAGAAGGAGCTCAATCAGCCATGGAAGCAATGGGCGTCAGAGCTCAAGCCGGAGTTGCTATCCCAGGAGATCTTGCAGAACGCTTCTGACGGTGACTCGCAACACGGGACTGTGGCAATCAAGCCTCGCCCTGAGGTAGACCTTCTCTCCAAGAAAGACAAACCAGTTCTGTATGCACCTACCCTACCTACATGATGTCTTTGGCACTCCAAGAATGACTATACACTTGCTTACATATCTAGAGACCACTCGAGAAGTAGGGACTGTATTTGAGAAGAGGCATCCCCTGATTGGCGGCAGATAAAGGCTGTGGCTTTGGACATTCTCTTGGCTTCATAAGCGACTTAACATTTTCAAGCTCTGGCACAGTGTTTGCCAAAACTTAGCAAATTTACCAGATGACCATTGCACCATTACACTCCGGTGCTCTTGATTAGCTTTCCATGACCTCCTACTTAATTTGTGACTTGTCCGGGCCGAGACATATACAATGCTATATCGGGATTTCCGAACGAGATCAGCTCAAGGGTTTCATCCCGCGCTGCATTCATTGGGTCGCAGCGATGACAACACGCCACCGGAAGCGGGGTAGGTTGCACATGCAGTCAGATTCCCAAGCGCATGCATGCCAAGGTGTGCAGGACTTGTACTCTTGCGCCAAAGTGTATTGGTTGTTGTTCCGCACTAAGTGCGGGTTGATTGAGCCTCAACTCGAAAGGGTTTCGCCTGCCCCCGTAGCTTACAGTCCATTGCTATTCCTCCCATCTTCTTCCCTCAGCCTTACAACCAAAGAAACCCACCTTCACACATTTTACTGTACCTCAAGCTACTCTCTTTCACTACATCACGCTTTCAGCGCCTGTTCATGATCAAAGGGCACGTTTGTGTTGTATCGTCACCTTGATAAGATCTTAGAATCCTCGACATCGCATCATCTACACCCAACGAACAATGGCTGCAGATCGTGTGTATGTTGCTGATTCAAAGGCTGTTACCCACCGCCTTCCCATCAAAGATATCTTTGACAGGCTACCGCATCGGAACAAGCTGTACGCACATCATCTGGGGAAAGCAGCGTGGTCCGGAGCTCGCATTATCCTGCGTCAAACCTCATCAGAATCAGAGCCTATCTTTGACCTCATCATCTCGCTCTATAATGCCTGTGAGGGAAAGTGGGAGAAGCTCGTCGGTGAAGGCGTGATCTCGGAGGACGATCTGGCATCGTTCTTCGGCTATGCAGGACTCTTCTTATACAACCTGGGCAACTTCTATGTAGGTCTCATGAGCTAATCCATGTCATTTCGGAAGATGCTCACTGCGCTAGGGCGAGGGAGGCCAAAAGTTCGTCCCCGGCCTTTCCAGAGAGGGTTTAGAGAAACTCGTGCGATACACGACAGATGAACATTCGCTCGTTCATACTCTGGTTGAAGGAATGATAGGAGCCCCACCATACCGCACAGGATACCCAAGTGATACCACTGTATCGAACTACTATCCTGGTGAGCGTATCACCCGAGACGAAATTACAGCGATTGCGAAATCCCTCGAGAAGCATGGCATCGAGCCGGAAAATACAAGGGTGCGAAAGACCGCGAACGGCGGCGAGCCTATCTACGAACTGCTCCAAGCATCCAGTGAGATGGACATGTCTCAATCAATGTCAGAAGGCTTTGTTGCTGGTACGAACATACGCATAGTGCGAGGCGATCACGCGACCGAGATGGCTGCCATATGTGCACAGTAAGTTGGAAGACTGTCATTTGTACCTTCTGATGCGTCACACGCTTCGCGACAATTTACAAGTCCTACACAAGGCTAACATGTCAATGACAGTCTCGAGGACGCTCTTGACTGGGTAGAGAATCCAAGGCAAACCCAGATGCTCAATTACTACATCGAAAGCTTCCGAACAGGCAGCCTGTCAGCATATCGAGAGTCCCAGAAGGTTTGGGTAAAAGACATCTCACCATCCATCGACCATATCCTGGGTTTTGTGGAGTCATACCGCGACCCTCACGGTCATCGCGCTGAGTGGGAAGGCGTTGTCTGCGTTGCAGACCCCGACGAGACACGGAAAATGAATGCGTTCGTCGAGAATGCGGCAAAGTTCAGTGCCTTGCTACCCTGGGCAACAGAAGAGAACAAAGGCAAGGGCCCGTTCGAGAAGAACCTGCTGGACATACCCGACTTCGCCATCATCCATGGTGAGTATCATTATCTAACCTCAAAACGCGGCTACTGACGGATAGTTGTAGCTCTTACAGTCTGCTGTCCGTATGTTTGGGAAGCATCAAACCTTCCCAATGTAAGTATTGCGATCGACTTTGTGGACACTCGCTAACTACTGGCGTCGCAGTACAACGATATTCGGGAAGAGTACGGCTCTAAGAACACTCTCATTACCAATCGTATGAGCGCGAACCGCAAATCTGGGGGTGCATCGAAGTACCTTCTGCCAGAAGACACAGAACTTTACAAAGAGAACATGCATACCGTGAGGTTCGTCGCAACGGTCATACACGAGCTTCTTGGTCACGGCACGGGAAAGCTACTCAGCGAGACGGAGCCCGGCAAGTTCAACTTCGACGCGACGCACCCTCCGCAGAGCCCTCTCACCGGAAAGACGATCGAATCCTGGTATCTCCCAGGGCAAACATATTCCAGCAAGTTTGAAGACATCGCTCAAACGGTTGAGGAGTGCCGCGCCATCCTCATGTCAGCATACCTCGTAGACAACAAGGAGATTCTCGAGATCTTCGGATATAACGACAAAAGTACACTTACTGCCGATGATCTTATATATATCTCGTACTTGCACCTCGGCATCGAGGGTATACGATCGTTGGAGCATTACAATCCGGGAGATAAGGCCTGGAGTCAGGCACATAGCCAAGGATACTTCGCCATCTTCAAGCATCTTCTACTTGAAGGGAACGGAGTTCTTACCGTGCAGTGGGATGCAAAGACCTCTCACCTTTCAGTGAAAGCAGACCGAAGCAAGATACTATCCGACGGAAAGCCTGCGCTAGGTCGTATGATGTGCCGTCTCCACGTGTGGCGATGCACTGCCGACGCAAAGGCATGTCGAGAATTCTACGAGCCTCTGACTTCAGTGGAGGGTGAGTATGCCGAATGGAGAAGTGTAGTGATTTCAACTCCGGAGCCCAGGTGGAAGTTTGTGCAGGCTAACACCTTCTTGATGGATGGCGAGGTCACAGTCAAGGAGTACGAGGAAAGCGACAAGGGTATCATACAATCTTGGGTTGAGAGACAGATCTGATCGAAAGCACTGGCGCTAGGGATATGAACATTGATCAAGCAACCCTTGAAGAATGTATGGTTATCAATTGGGCTACGGATAACTGGTGCCAATATACACATAATCATCATGATATTATGCTCCGATGTCTACAAGACGGTCCTTCTCTCAGACAATGCTAGCTTTAACCGGGCGCAAAGTAGAGCTGCGCAATACCGACGGCCAGCTGCAACACTGCAAGTACGATAGTTATACCTCCCACCCAGATCACCGCCCAGAATGTATACCACTGTAGTGGGTTCCGTCGGTCGCGCCATAGATCTCTTGCCCTACTCGGCTGCTGGCGCAAATTGTACTTCTGCAATTCCAGCAGCCGCAGGCCAAACACGGGAAAGTCATGCTGAGCGGAGTACGAGTCAGATTCCATGAACACACTGCTTGTGCTGATGGTTGATTGCGGAAAGAGCGCCGCCGGCAGATCCAAATGGTTGCGACGCGAGAGCGATTTGGCGACCCAGGATCTTGACAACGGCAACGTGCATAGCCTCTCCAGAAGTGGGTCAACAACGCGATCGGCTTTCTTCTCCTGGATGAGGAGGTCTTGTACCAGTTTTCGGGATCGGACGCTTTGGCCAAACAAGAGCCGATATGTGAGCATAAGCTCGCGGTGTAGAGCGTGAGGCTTGACGGGCCGCGGCACATCGACGTAGGACTCGCTTGGTAAGAGCTCCCCTTGCACCCTTATCGACTTGTCAGCACGGGCTAAACCGACGCAGTGGAGCTTTTGAGCACTTACTCGGCTACGGTAGGTATGAATTGGGAAGCCTGTATCGTCGCTGCGCAGAACGAAGGGAAACGAAAGATGGACACAGTGTGGTCTTCCTGGTTCCAATGGAGATGCGCAGCCATGGTGTCGGTCCATTTGACTCTTAGTCGGCCAATCGTATATAGCGAGTCGAAATTGATCGAGCTCTCGTAAATGGTGCCGCTGATCGGGGTGTGGGACGTCTGTTCTCCACTCACATGCGCTAGCAACTCATGGAAGCCTCGGAACAGTTTGTTGGTCGGACGACTAGAATACTGCTTCAATTGAACAGTCGTAACAGATTCATCTCTTGCCAATATAGATTTGCATGAGAGGCCGAAACGGGAAGGGGAAGATGTGGTGTCTTGCAGTAGTTTCGGCTCTAATGCGAGCGACATCCAACATATGCCAGCAAAGATAGCTTGTAATGTTCTCGCTTTCTCTAGATCGTTGATCTCCTTGACTTGTATGCCGGATTGTTCAAGAAGGCCTCGGTACACGGAGTCCAATGAGCATTCATTTACCTGGCGCAGAATCTTCAGCAGTGCGAGACACCAGTACCACACCTGGAAAGACTCTTGGGGCTTCTCACGGCCCATTATCTTCCATATAACGCTAAAGCTATCGTCTAGAAGGTCTTTGAACTGTTCTTCTAGATATATGCAAACCGCGAGCGTGCCGGGCCAGGATTTCGTGTAAGACACTTCCAATCCAAAAAGAGCCTTTATGGCTTGGTCTCGTAACTCGGATTTGGATGGTTCTTGGGTCTTCTTTGTTGTCGGTACTGCGACTTCGACTGCATCTTGTTGGCTAGCGACATTTGGTTTTGCACCGTTCGCGTTGAGTGCGACCAACTAATAAGATTAGTTCTGAAAACGCATGTTGTACGAGTAAGGAAAGAGTTGCATACCTCGACACTGGGTTCGGTCGCCCCAGCAGTGGTGTCGTCACCACTAGATTGTTGTCCACGGGCGCTGTGAGGAGGCATGTTGCAACCGCGCAGGCGCTTGATGTTGGAAGGGCTTAGCCGAGCCAATGCTTATCATTTTCATCACAAGAGAACGTGGCACACATATATTGTCAGTATCGCAGAAAGGCTGAAGAGGTCAGCCGCTGGTCAGGCAGCCATGCAACACGATGTGTAGCGAAGGTGGTGACTATTGGGCACAAGATCCCGCGCAAGATAATGCACACTGCAAAGCCTGCACTGACCGGACGGAACATGAAAGCTCAGCCCCCTCGTATGTGCCATCGAATGAAACGAAGAATTTAAGCCGATGGTGTGGCCAATTTAGCCAGCCCGTCATCTGCGATGTAAAGTCGCACATGGTAAGACGAGACACCCAATCATACCCGAGAGCTTCGTCATCGCCAGAAAATCGGTATCAGCAAATCGTACGGCTCTTCCGATCCGAAATCCGTGGCGCTGGGGTCCCGCTCGCGCAAGTTTTTCTCTGCCTTGTCCCGGAATCCTTCAGCCTCGCTCTCGTACTGAGGATCCTGCGTCAGCGCTTCCGACAGCTTGAACAAGCTGCGCGCGTGTTCGACAGGCATGAGCTTCATGTGCTTTTCGGTGACCTTGATAGAGTCGCGCAAGTGTTTTCTATACGATTTAGTCCAAGTGCGCGTCTCAAATGTGGTATGGGCCTGCTCTGCTTCACTTACATAGCTGCTTCCACCTTGCCCTGATCGAGGCACACAGCTCCCGTTTTGTACATGCAAGCACCGTTGAATGGGTGCAATTCCTTCAAATCGCCTTTCAGCCACAGGTTTTGTGCTTCGATGAAGGTGGCTTCTGCAGATTCGAACTTCCCCTCACGTCGGTCAATGAGACCTAATGCGAAATATGCGCTACTGGAGATGAGCGTCTAGAGAGTTCACATAACGGATGAGACTTACTATGCTACCATGGCCCAGTTGAGAGTATCCTCGTTGCGAAACCCGTCGATACAAGTTTTAAGCAAGGCCCTCGCCTCATCCAATCGCTTCAGGTAGAGTAACCCTCTCGCCATGTTCTTGAGAATGACCACTGGGCAGGGTAATCCTTGACCGTGCCACGTGGCTTCAGCTTTCTTGAAGTATTCGAAGGCAGTATCATGCTTATTTGCTGTATTATAGCAGAAGCCCAGGTTATTCTCAAAGCTTGAAATGAGGTGGTACTTCGGTGGCTTTTGGTTCAGACGGATCTGATAAGCTTGCTGATTCCATTCGATAGCTTGATCGACTTTGCCGATGCTTTCGTACAAATTTGCCTGATGAGATAGCACAGATGCTTTCAAATCGTCGCGCCGATCCGCTTCGTCGAGCGTATCGACCGCAATTGTATTGATTTCGCATAGCTTCTTGAGGTCATTCATGAGGTTAGTCTCATACAAGAACCTGACATCGTTCAGTTACACTATCAGAAAGGTCACGGAGACTAAACATACCGCTGGCTTTGGTTGACGAGCTCGCAGAATTTCCATGTTGCCCTGAAAGACTTTGAAGCGCGATGTTCTTCCATGAAACTGTCTGCGAGGTTGATCACATGCTGTTGGTAGTAGTTGCATTCAGCCCAGTGATCGTACAGCTGACCTCTTCCGTCCATTTGAGGATAGGCTTTGTAAACGAACGCCACAGCATCGTCAAAAGCCTTCTGGCGTTCATCGGGTGACATGAAGTATTTGTACTGAGTTTGGACCATGCGATGTATAGAGTACGCCTTACTGTCACGATTTCGTTTGAGGAGTGCAAGAGTCAGCAAATGTTTCGTGGCTTTGGAAAACCTGCAAAGCGTGTTAGTCCATTGATGTGAATGTGAAGGTCTCAACATACTTGATTCCATCTTCGCAGAACTTGAAACCTTTGATCTTCTCAGAGCCCTCTGGGAACTCAAATATCGCTTGTGGAATGTTGTCTGGCATCAAAAACGCGGCAACACCAAGAATCTTCACACTCGTCGGATGATCCTTCTTCAGCGTCGTGAACGAGAAATGCCATATAGCTTCAAGGTCGCTCATTTGTTCAGAGTCGTCGACGTCTTCTGAATCGCTACTGTCTCCCAAGTCTCTGGTGTGCGCACTTCGAGGGTTCTTTCGATATGCTTTCATGAATTCAGTGATCGACCAATCGCTGTCTTGAATCATCCCAGCCATATGGGATATGCCCAACGCATGTCCATTGAGTCGTGTCGATAGCTCAAGAGCAGAGATGCCCTCTTCCTGGATATCACGACCTATCGCCTGTTTGAGTAGAAAGAACAGAAACTCTGAGCCCGTTTTTGGATCCCACGAGAGGATCTCGATTCCGGAAGAAGCAGGTTGGAAGGCTAGGGTGTGATTACGCGAGGTGATGATAGCTTTTCCGTGGCTCGAGCCCGGCCAATATGGCATCAGGATCTCCGCTAGCTCGACGTTATCGTAAACTACCAGCCATCGACTCGCTTTTGCATCATAAGTTACTAGTTATCAACAAGCACAAGCCATGTGAACTCACTGGATGTTTGGAACCAGTCTTGCACGAGGTCCTTGTTCTCCTCGTGCTTCTGGGGTTCCGCACCATCTAGCTTAAGTCGTAAAGCGATATCTGTGAAGCTCTGGCGTAATGACGCCGTCTTTTCCGCCTGAACCCAAAAGATGGCGTCGTAATCGTTGTCTTCGATTTTCTTATCGACATATCGCGAGGCTATAGCACTCTTTCCAATGCCACCCAGCCCATGCAGAGCTACAGAACGGAGGGAAGTGCCGGTAGAATTTCGTTCCAATGCCGAATCTATCTTGTCGAAGACATCGGTGCGGTTGAAGAATCTGGGCGCTTTCGTGGGTGGTAAAATGAAGCAGCGGGATACATGCGCAGTTGTGTTCTTGTGAGAAGCAATGGTACCTGCAACCCCCGTTGAGTTGACCAGAGTGAGTTTCTCCAAGCGTACAAGCGTCTCGTTGACGTCATGTTCCGTAGATGTGAATTGCTTCTCGAGCTGTGACCACTGTTCTGACGACCCGGGCGATGTGTTGTCCCGGATGGATTTGATCAAAGCCGTGGTAAACTCGACAAGTTGAGTCAACATGTCGAAGCAGCCCTCCCGCATGAGTTTGGTGACCGAATCAGCATTCCTACAATACGTGTTGAACTCCTCGATCTTGTTGCCAAGTCTTTTCATCATTTTAGGTATCTTCTCAAGAGTGCGTGGGTCTTCAGCAGCGACCTGGAGAATTACGCCCAGAAGTCCCCAAACGAACGCGGTAGAAAACCCGGTACCCATCTCTTTCTCGCTGAATTCGAGGAACTGGTTGTAGTGTACGAGGGTAGGTTTGAGTCGGTCGATTTGATGAGGTACGCTTCCCAAATCACCGCGGCCTTCCAACACTATCGTGCGAAGATCTTGCCATGATTGAACTTCTTCCAGTTTGAATCGGTCTCCCTCTTCGAGATCTTTGTTGCAGTTGGCTTTCACAGTGCGCCAATGGTTCGCGAAGAACTCAGAACTGCGTGCCGTTAGATGATCGATACGGTTGATGGCATTTGGGACCTACAGCTCTGCGTCATCCATGGTGGATGTAAAAAGTGGCAAAATGAACCGTTGATTGAAATTACGATCGCTTGTGGCAAATTTGACCGTAATGCGTGCCGCTGCGCATCATCAGAGCTGCCAGGCGTTGGGCGGCTTTAAGTAAGAAAAAGGATGCGCATGCTTTTGCCCCGCACTTTGTGCCACCACAAACAACACAAGGCTGAGAGGCTTTCGTCAGTTTCGTCATCAGACTAATCATGCACCGTAATGCGGTGTCCCGCTAGAGACCGGCAGATGATGTTCTTGTTTGAAGATGGAAACAGTGGCGACTGTCCAGGCCAGCAGGTACGAGCAGAACGACTCAACATAACAGCGATTGCCGTTTTGCAGCAAAGAGACCACGTGCGGGCTGACTGCGTTGGACACGAGATGAAGTGTAAGATTAGTGCGCACCTTCGGCCAAGATTTCTTCACCTAGGACCGGCTTGACCACTATCATGGTTTCCACTTCTTCCAAGCGTCTACAAATCCAACCTCTTTCTTCGCTTCGTCGCGGCCACCCAAGCCACCAGCTACGTCGCCCAGCCCGCCCAAATCAACAAGCGGTACCATACTAGGCCGGCCATGCGCGCACATGAACGGAAACACACAACCCGCAAGATTCCCCACCAACGCCTTACAGTCATCGACACTGAGCTCGTCGTTGAACATGATAGCTGAGCGACATGCGCGAGAGTTGATGAGATCGACGAGGCCAGGTGGGCAGGTAGCTAGACGTCTGACCCAATCGACGGGGTCGTTTGCTGATGAGCTGGACGGCGTAGGTAGCAGAGGGAGATGTGGATCTTCGGCGTACTTCCAGACTGTCGAGCGGAGGAAAGAGATCAGGACTTTGGGGTCGGCTTTGCATCGTTCCGATATGCCAGTTGGAAGAGCTATGACGGACAAAACATACCTCTCTTTGTCGGTAGTGCTAGGAAGAGACGCAGGACCTGTTGTCTGGAGGACATCGTAGAGAATACCCCACGCTGCGAACCTAGCGGCATGCGTTGTGAAGTGTGTTCGTTCCTGCGGCGAAATTGCAAGCTGAGTTGGCTTATCCAGAACGACAGAGGCTACCTGCGCCTGGTAGCCAAGCTTGGACTGGTATCTTGTCTCTTCTTGTGCCGGACTGCAAAGTTGGCGAAGGAGCGACTCAACCTGCACACGCTCATCTGCTGCATGCTGATCGATCAACACGATAAGCCCTGCGCACGTATCTTTTGCTCGTTTTGAATCTTGCATCTTGACCAAGATAAACTTCTTGTCGACCTGCGCAATGACTTGCGCGTCTCGCAGCCCTTCTTTTGACAGTCTACTAGAACCACTCGAAGAAGTCTGGTTGAAAGCTCTGTCGATATCGATGCGAGAACAACCGTGTCCAGAGTGATGGTGTCCGTCGTCGACCTTATCTTCGTGCGACGCCGCCTGCTGTATACGCTTTTCGCTCGGCTTGAAGACCGGGTTCTCCCATTTGTCTAGTATGTCATCAAGCCAGGGTGTCTTGCCAGCCACAGCCGTCGCAGCCCGTGTCGGTAATCGCATTGACCTACTCGATGTGTTCTGGGATATTGAATTCGAGAGCATAGCTGAGTCGGTACTTGGTCGCGTGCGAGCGTCAGGAACCACGCAGCCCGTTCTGGCGTTTAGTAGATGCGTCTTCTTAGTCGTTGGATCTGTCCACAAGATGGTATCGTCGTTCTCCTTGTCATCGATTTCCAGACTCTGTGCAGGCGGCGCTACGTCGTCGCGCTGTTCTTGTCCGCTCAGAGCACCTTGAGCTAGTGGCGCTACTTCAAAGTGGGCGAAAGCTTCGGAAGTTGCGCCAAGTGAAGTATCGAATGCGGTCTTGGATCTCGGCACGTTCAGAGTGCTGCTGAAGAACTCAGGCTTGCCACTCTTGATGCGCGACCACTCTGCAAAAGCTCCAGGTCCAGACCTGCTAATCGACTCGCGTGATGCTGCCTTATTTGGGCGCTTCCTCTTGAGAGACTGTGACGAAGTTGATCTTTGATTTGGCGTTGCCGAGTGGCTCCGATTCTCGTGTTGTCGGAAAGCGAAGTTGTTTGTTAGGCTCTCCGTGGCTGGCGTGTCGACAAAAGAGCCCTCAGCAGAGCTAGAAGCAGTACCAGGCCGTTCGCGCTTCTTGCGAGGCTGCCGGGATCTAAAGTGATGAACCGACAACCATTGAGTTACCATCGCATCTAGGACCTCCATGACGTTCTGTAAGTTCGCTTCATCTCCGATGAACTGATCTTCGGATACGCTTCTCCTGCGAGCCTCCTTCAACGAGATGCGAAGGTGAAACATGGCATATCTGTCGACGTCTTTGCGTGCTTTGAGCTGTCTGTTTGTATAGCCATCCTGCTTGAAGCGCTTGTCTGTCTGCCGTCGAAATTTCTCTTGCTCATCAATGTCGGCATCTTCTTCGATAGTACCAAAGCTGGACAATGCGAAGAGGCGATTGACCGCATCAAAAAGCTCATTGTGACCAACCTCGGCAGAAAGCGGTCGTATGCCCAGCGAGATGAACTGAACATGCTTGCTGGGTGCTGGAGTTAGTGATATAGCGCCCTTAATCGAGACGGCAGATGTGGAAGCCGACGCTGGTACCCACGACGCCCACTCATCGACGGTGATGTAGTTGGCCTGGGTCAATACGTTGAGGAGTGATGAGAGCTGTGCCGATCGTGGCTTCGCAATCTCACTTTCTTTTCTCTTTGTGGCTGCTTCCACGCCGGATATGCTGAGACTGAGCACCACCCTGTTGTCACCGTCCCGTATTCGAATAGCGACCGGACGCTGCCAACTGAGCAAGAGACCCGTTACGTCCCTTTTCAACCCATCCCAGAGTCTGTCGTGTTCGGCTCTTTGCTCTGAAATTATCGACCGTTGCTTCACGCGCACGGGCATACTGCCGAACAAGTTCCGCACGGTGACGCGGGTGCCATGCCTGCCTGAAATCTCGTGATGCGCCGACGCCGGAAGTTGCCTTTCCACGACCTTGGATTGGTGGAACGTTATCGCGTTATGTGAACGGTGTTGGTAGTGGTGCGAGGAGATGGTCAGGAGTGACATAGCAGCGAGCGACGCGAGGAAGATGCCATTGCGGCCAAGGAGAGGGTCGGTCGCATGGTACTTGGACGTGCCTGTCGCCGTCAATTTTCTATCTAGATGGCTTCCGGCGTGTACACATACAGTAGAGCTTGCCCAGCCCTCCTTCTTCGCGAAACTCGAGGGGAGATACGCCGAGACCGTCATCTTCGACCGAGCATCCGCCGCGCGCGAAGTCAATCGCGGCTTCTACCTTGGTCGCTTTCGCATCCAGGGAATTCTTCAGGAGCTCCAGCACAACTCCCGTAAGCGAGACAATTGCCGTCGACGACTTGATTTGGGCGATCACCTCGGCGGGCAGGGGCAGTATAGTTCGCGTGGAAGCATTGGGGATAGTATGTTTGGCGCCAATGGACGTGTTTCGGGTCATGACGTAGTGATAGGTCTGGCGGGCGCCCCCTCAGCCTTCGTTGTTTGATGACCCGTGTTCGATCATGTTAAGGGGTCGCGCCGTGATCAGTGTTGAGTTTGGGTGGGCGATAACATGGAGATCTACAGAACATACGCAATCGTGTGTCGTGAAGGGAACATGGCGGCTTAGCGCGGCGGGCGGCAGGTGCGCTGGGGAAAAGGGTCAGGGTCCAGCCGGAGATATGAGCAGGAGCGACCAGCAGCTCCTCGCTCTTTCCCCATCAGCGCAACCTCCCGGCCCCGACCGCGTAACTCAGACTGCCTCAATCGTCTCGGATTACTGATAGCAGCGATACGACTTGCTGTCTCGCCATTCGATAATCGCGCCCGACCGCCTGCGCTGGCTTTCACGACGCACACCGCGCTACCGACAGCCGCGTCCCCATTACTCCAGTAGATTCGACGTGGGATCGTCCGACTAAACGTGGCATCCCGCGCCTAACTAGCCCAACGACCTCCTTCACTCACCACCGGCACTCTATATTTGGCAGCCGGCATTATGGCTACGGCCGAAGCTGCGTCGAGACCCCATGGTACGGTGAACTAGTCTTGCACAGCCATTGTCTCAGACAACTACCCAAATTATATCCTCCCTACACCACGCCCGCTCTCCCCTCGACAAATTATGCTCACCATGCTAACGCGATACAAAGACCGACATGCGCGCAAGCGACCCTTTGCGGGTTGGATGAAGCGCCTGGCCAACCTCAAGCCCTCTTCATCCGACGCCCCAGGCAAGAAGGGCAACACCGTCAAGAAAGGCGCTCCAAAGAACAACCCCTATCCTGAGTCTGGCTACATCAACACCAACGTACCGCCCGCCGACAACTCGTCCGTCACGACCCCGGCCACATTACGATCGCACGATAGCTATACGTCCATAGAGGAGCCCGCGGCCGGACAGCGACAGGCGATAGACAAGAGCAACAAGTCCACCGCCCCTACGGTAGCCACAGTCCCCGAAACAGTACACTCGTCGCGGTCAAAGGCAGAGACAGGCGGCAGCAACTTTGTCAATGGCGGCAGCACATTCTCGTCCCCGCACGGCTCAGAGCACTCTCTCACCACCACCCTGACGACCATACAATCGACTGCGCCCTCAAATATCCTCAACCTCGGCCAAGCGCAACCCCAGAACAATGCGACAACCACAAGCACTACGCCCGTGCACTTTTCGCATCAGTTCCCCACCTCACCGCCGCCGTCAGCCATACCGCCGCATCTGGCGCCGCAGCAGCCGCAGCAGCAGCAGCCCAACTCATATCAGGGCGCCACCGCGAACAACATCCTCACCGATAACGCGTCCATCCTCACACTCGCCTCCTCATCGAAGCGCCGCCGTCGCAACTCCGTAGACACCAATGCCTCGATGCGCGCACTAGCCCCGTCGTCGCATTACGGCGGCAGTCGCGAATCGCTGCCCCTCAGCGTACTATCCGCGAACCCCGACGCCATATACTCGCCCTCCGGCAGGCCAAGCAACGTCAGCGCCTTCGTAAACGCAGAGCGCGCGAGCGTCTACTCTGCGTCTGGCGTCACAGCCCCGGTCCTGCCCAGCGAGCGCAACAGCTACTACGCGACCAAGCAAGCCGACGGCCTCAGCGTGCGCAGCGGACTCCTTGGCCACGGCCGCACTGATAGTATCAGCAGCATGCGCGCCACGCCCACCAGCCCGCTCGCTAGCCCTCGCGAAAACCCCATGGGCCCCGCACGCATCAGTCGGAAGAGCTCAGAGTGGAAAGACGCGAGGGAAGCAAGCGACGAGGACGAGGCGCCAGCGAGCCCAATCGTCGAAGAGCACGAAGATAAACCCACACCGAATGCTCAGACCTGAGTCAGTCCCAATGAAGCAGGCGCACGAGTACAAAGTTATGATAACCGAGATACCAACATTGGCGTTGATGGGGTTAGGATTGGCGGGTGGGCTGTGTCACGATATTCGGATTAATAGGGCAGTACGGAATACGGTTACTGGTACTCGTGATTCTAGGATGATGCGAGGATGGCGTTAGTCTGGGGTGGGGCTGGATGGGTGGGTAGGTTTGTGGTATTTTGGCTTCTTCATCTTATACCCTAGTATCGAATGGAGCTTTTTTCTTTCTTTGTGAAGTGAGTGCACGATGTATGTTTGGGTTTTTTGTTTGGGGGAAGGTGCGACTAGTCTATGGAGTAGCTGATCGCTCTTTCTACATTCGAAGCGACCTGGCCCGTGGCCTTTCCTCAACCGCCAGAGTTCTCTCCATGTTCACCATTTACTTCTGGTCATCCCTTTCCGTTCCCTAGCTGTGACAATACTTTCCGTTGGCAGCACAGGCCATCTTTTCTTCCTCGGACTCGTGAAGATGATAGTCGCAAGCAGACAACTCCGTCGTTTCAGCACATACCCGGATCTTGGTTTGCTTCAGCATAACGGCAACAAGGAACTCATGTGGCAACCGGGACCTCCGACGCTTTTCTGCCTCGTTGTCATGCCACTCATCCCATGCAGTGCCCTGCAAGTCAACCATCATAACGAGGATCGGGCTGTCCGTCGGCAGGTTATCGAAGGCCCATATAACAGCCGTGTAGGTAACGCTACTGCATATCTCCATACCCTTCTCAATGAAGTGGTCGTTGACGAATGTGTTGTGTGCGAGACGATGGAAGACTGGTGTGAGGAATCGATCTCCGAATATAACACACTTCAAGACAAGCACGCAAGCGTAGCCATAACTGGACGAATTTTGTAGAGAGACGAATTCAGATGCCTCTGCCAATCGCAGGATTGACTCCCAGTCTGACGGTATCTCCTGCGCGTAGAGCCAGTGCACAAAGACATTGAACACCGGGACTTCGACGTCCTCCAGTGTCACGCCCTCGTCAGACTCTTTCCAGCGCCCGTTGAATGAGGTGCGGAAGTACTCTGAGTGGTGGCAGATGATGTCCTTGTGGATGTTGTAGCGCTTCTTTTCGGGGCCGATGAAGATCGTGACAATTTCACCTCTGGTTGCAGAGCTGTTCGGTCTGTCAGTGACTGTGATAGCTGAAGTTGCAGCGAGTGAACTACTTACCTGAACACAGGTGCGGCTTGAGGCTCATGTGGTGTGTTCGCCATAGCGCTGTCAAATTTGTACGGCTGTGGTGGTGTGCAGGTAAAAGAGAGGTGAGGTGGGGGGAAGAGTCTGTGCAGACTACTCGCGGCTTGGTCGAACTTCGGAAGTGAAGGTGAGTTCAGAGCAAACACACTAATCCAGAAAGCGCTCTAGCTTATCTTATCTTCTCTCACTTCCTGGAAAACCGTGAGCAGGTTTGAGAAATACGTTGTGTGGAGTGAAGTATCTTTAAGAGGGTATGAGATAGCGTGTAGGACTTTAAGTAGGTTGCTAAGGTGTTGAGTGAGTTTATAGTGTGGTTATATGGATACATAAGTTTCTGGATGATTGATACCAGGCAGTGAGAAGGCTTGAGTACCTCCTGGGTTCGGTGAGGTTGTTGATTTCGTCGTAAGAGAGGTCGATGTAGACGTCTCGCACTGGTCGATTTCAGGGGATGTGCATCCTGTATCTACCTCTTGAACCTTTCCTTTAGAGACAGATGGAGCTATGCTGGTACATGTTTTGATACTAGTCGATGTTTGATTGACACACATACCATATCTACCCCCAAAACCTCTCCAGCCATTTCCAAAGTGCCATCTGACACTGCCCCATTTCAAGCGATATACACCTGATATATGTCACCAAAACCATCTTACGTGATGCTACAGTACTATCTCGACCACCTCTCGTCTTCTTCAACTTCCTTCCATCTGGTGAAAGATGGGATGAAAGACATAGTGGGCTGTGCGGTGAAGAGTCAAATGTGACTAACATGGCGAAAGAGTCAACACCACGCGGCCACCACACAGTCACAACACTGTATGTGACTGTTGTACGTATGAATCACTGTATGAATATGTCTGGTATAAGAGTGGAGGGGGGATGGCATCTGGTTTCCACCACGCACGCCTCCAGGAACGCGACCTATCCGAGACGATACCAGACGAACCGCTCTACGAAGCCGCCTCTCATCTATCTTAGACTACGGTCTCTATCTTCCATCTAGCTGCAACTCATTCCGAGTACATGGTCGACAAATCGCAGTTCGGGTACTTGGTTCAACGTAGCAGGAACCTATTTGCTTCATGCATGTCACAACACCACAGCTTTACGAAGACTATCAACGTTATACAGTCAGCCCAAGAGATATATGAGAAATTCGTGAAGCAAGGACCTTGTCCGAAAATTGGCGTGATTGAAGGACTCCAAGAACTCGACCGTCTTTTGACAGCTTTTGGAGCAGCAGTCCCGCCCGCCCGAGACGACGAAACCTTATCAAAAGAGTGGGACCAAATTCTAGTTGTCGTTGAGACCCTTGCAGATATCTCAAGCAGCTAAGTGGGTAGGGGGCTACAATGTCGCTGGATCGAAGACAAAAGCGCTGGCAAAGCATTATGTATCTGTCACGTCTCTTAGTCTGGGAGTCTATGGCCACCAAAAAGCATATCATGGTAGGCTAGACCAGTCATGTCGAATGGATTGTTGATTGCTAACTACACTCTGATAGCCAGACTACGTCATATCGTCAAACGATCGTAATCGTCTGCTCGACACATCCATCAAACCAGTTTACTTCCGAGCGCGACATTGGATAACCGACGCCAGCCCGACTGAAAGTATTAGGAGTTGCAGGTACCGGGTTCAAGACTAGCATGCATATTCGTCGGGGCGTAGGATTCCGGAAGCGAACAACAAGAAGTCCATACAAGTAATCACCCCAAATTTCAGTCTCATCTTGCCACCCAGCATCTCCATAGATCGCCACGTTGTATTGTGTCTCTTCACCGTTGTCAAGTCCGAGGAAGCGGACAGCAACATCGATTTCTTTCCATCGTAGCTTACAGAGTGGGCCCTTGACCACGATATTCCCGGATGTCACTTCTCCCCATTCATCCCACAAGTGATCTATGCTCACATCTAGGATAGTCGTGACGCACCTATATTCATCAGACCATATGTGTTCTTCCCAGACGATCGCACCCTGGATGGCAGCCCAGGACCACGTCGGCGCTCGATATTTCTCCGAGCGTGTATCGTCCGGGTTGACGGATCTCCATAACAACGCCTCGGGAAGATGTATATCCCAAAGCCCAGCAATATACCTGACATGGCCCTCGATCCTCCCTTGCCAAATGTTCCATACGTCTCGCGCCATTCCACTTATCGCGACTAGTTTGTCGTTGGGGTAGGTGAGCTTGGCAATAGAGTAATCGGTGACTAAAGCCTGCCAAACCATTTGCATTTGCACTGCGCCTGGTTGTCTTGATATTCCTGGAAGACGCTTGTGTACCGGGGCGGATGACGGAAAACAGGCCTTGGATTGCTCGTACACGGGTTTGAGTAGAGTGCCAGTAGAACTTGTGAGAATAGCGGGAAGACCATCGGGGAATGACTCGCAATAATTGTCAGTGCGGCATTCCCAGAACACTTGCTCTTTACCAAAATGTAGCACCCTTCTAGACAGTTGTCGTTCTTGGAATATCCATGCTCGGTGAAAGACTGCTGTCTTTTGAAGTACCTCTCCGTAGAAGTCTTCGTGTATGATGTGCCAGCTGACGTCTGTATGATCGTCGTATAGATACCCCAGGCCTGCTAAACTGATGGAGAGAGGGCAGACTGGATGCGGGCCAATTGATGCTGGATCACGCTCGAAGTAGAAGCCTTCACTTGCATCTTGAGCTCCAGACGCTGACAAATTCAACGTAGAGTGACTGTAGACTTTGTGCATCTGTACAGATTCTGCTTGCCAGTCCGCTTTATCGTCCTGTATCTGATAGCATATAGTCAGCATCAGGTCGTTGCAATTCGGTGAGATCCCGTACTATGCACAATGAATCTATCCAAATGTATGTCAAACCAAGAGATTTGCAGAGAGATATTGCATCTTGAAAGGTCCTCGGAAGTGCCTCGAAATCCAACTGTTGTTGGAACTGAGCTAGATTGTTGCAGACCAACTTGGTAATCGGTTTGGAGCCCCAGCAGTGACTCAGAGTCGCATAACCACCTCGCAGACGTTGGCCTTTCGTGATAAGTAGTCTAGTGTCAGAGATTGTTGGCATCACTTGAAGCAATCTTGTTGGATACCACGTAGTTTCTGCGTCTTCTCGACAGGTTTTGTGGGATGTTCGACATCGGTTGAGCCATCGCTGGACCAAGTGCAGGATTTCTGGAGAGCGTGAGTTGGAAGGTAGGTGACTTCGCAGATTCGTGAGCGTGTCTATTGGATTAGCATACTGCATGATCACAAATATCAACCGGTAACGTACTCGGGGCGTAAGGTATGTAGTAGAAGACGTCGAGAAGTACTACAGGCTCTTTGTCATATTCTTGGCCCTTTCGATAAATCTTGAGCCGTGCAGTGTGCCGCGGGTCTTCTCCGCCTTGTGCAGCTGTTTCAGCTATGTAAAATGTGGCAGGATGTACCTCCATGCGTCTTGTGGAGCGCACGTTGGTATGGTAGTTGCGCCATAGCCTTCTGCAGATGTAACAACCAGCTCTTGATGCTCTAAACAAGGATGCAAACCCATCATAGTGAACTTGATACCGTTCGAGGGGTTTGTAATCTATAGAAGATACCCGATGGAGAATCGGACGCATAGCGAGACAAACATCGCAAAGATGCATTACGATCGGTTGTACATAAATCCGGTGCTGAAGAGAGTCGAATCAAGCCAGCTATAGTTGGAACTGTACGTGAGGAGTAGAGGAGAAGGTTGATGTCGAAGCAAATGACGTACTCCGCGATGGCGGGGCTGTGAAGTCATGCGCGAATGTGGCACAGTAGCACAACATCGGACCTTCTCGCAAAATTATGTTGCAGCAGACTCGCCCAGCTCCAATCACACGGTATCCCATCTAGTCCTCACTGCTTGTGCATTCGCATAGTAGGCATGGTTCCACGCCCCCACTGCCAAGCAGATAGACATTGAGGTAGCGTGACTAGATGGAGCAGACAAGGTGTGATGATCCCGGTGGCAGGTAGCGTTTGTTCCCTGGAGAATGGCGGTCATAAAGGCATCTAACCGACTGGCAGGATAAGCTCGTGTGGTTGAGCAACCTTTCCCCTTGAGCGTGACTGGAAGAATATAAGTTCGAGGAGGATAGCTCTTAGCTCCACTCACTTCCGTGCCGGCTGGCCAGGCACACATTTCTTTGCTGATTCCTGTGTAACACGGTAGCTTATATGACAACATGTGTTCAAAGTGTAAGAGGCTTGTGTCGCTAGCGACTACGGGAAGTCACATGGCCGGCCGAGTGTTGCGACTTGGAGCGTCAAATCAAACTGCTTGCTTGTCGAAAGCTTCATTACCTCTATAAACCCGTCCATATCAGCGAAACAAGCGGCTCGCTGCCATGTGTCGCGCGACATTTCCATGTAACAGAGCTAGGCCAATCGTAGCGACAACACGCCCAGTCGGTCGTTCGTGAACAGACGGCATCGAACTTTGTTACGCATTTGACTTGTTCGTTCCTGCATACGCGGCTGAGCATGAACTATCTGTACAGTAGGGATGGGCTAAGGAGATGACTTTGTGTGAAGAAGCTTTTGACCAGTGAATAAGGTATTGTCCACGCGGCGTGGCAGAGAGTAGAACGACAATTGGCGACTGCCTGGAGTTGCAGATGTCGGATATTTGTTTAACTGGGTCAAAAACTCCGTCCACCGCGCATATGGCATGTCTCGCGACGCGATTCGACGTGCGGGAGATGAAATTGAGAGGATATGATAATGAGGGTGACGGTGTTCGCGTTCTGGCCCGCAAACCGCGCGGCGATACGCGCCCGGGTACCTCCGGGGCTGGGCATCCAGGGGCTCTGGGGCTAAGATCAGTGCGGATTAGCGCCCTTGGCAATCCATCTTTCCGCTCTGGCTGCGTGCGTCACCTCCACAACATCCAGGTCTCAAAGTTCGTTCTCCAGAACCGACACGGCTTCGAGTCCGCTTCAACGCACACATGTCTTCTCTCGGAAGAGACTTCCGTCCTCACAAGATCATCACCGACCATTGAAATTATCGTCTTCAGCCTAGTTTGGGTTGGCTGGCATGACACCTAGCAGGTCGTTCATGTCGCACACCAACTACGACACGAACATGTCGCTTCTGTGGTATGGAGTGCAACTCCCGACCCCGCGTTGTGCTGGTAGATCGGAAAACGGTGCCCGTACCTGCGTATGTACCCCGCGACAACATCCATTCTAGCGTTCGCTACCCCGCCACGCCATCGGAGAACATGTGGAAGAGAGGTGTGACCGCTGTATGATTTCATGTCGAATCACATGTGTGAATTGTTCAAAAGGCGCTGGCGATGCTTCTCCGGGCGACATGTTAGTGTCCTACATCGTAAGGGTACTTGACGATCCTTTGGAGCGATGGACACTCAACGGATATATCTATTGTCGGCATCGCAGTGTCCCTCTCTAGTTGATCTAGTGTACTCGTATTCTGCAGTTCCCGCATGATGTCTACGCAAGACTCTAGTCTGAATCTCTCCTCATACTTCACGATACCTAATATCCTCCTAGTACTCGCGGCATATACTACCGTGAGATGCGTCTACCAGATCATCTACTATCGATATTTCCACCCGCTACGACACTTCCCGGGTCCCTTCTGGGCCAGCATGACACGGCTATGGATCGCCTATCATAACATCAAAGCTGATGAATGCGAGGTCGAACTCGCCCTACACCGCAAATACGGCCCCGTCCTTCGCGTCACGCCTACCCTACTGTTGGTTTCCGATGCTACCAAGCTTCCCGAAGTGTACAATCGTCAATCGAACAAGTCGAATCATTATATCACCGGCAGCTTCGGCAAGACCGAGAGTTTGTTCAATATGCGGGAACACAAACACCATGCGCACTTTCGCAAGATCGCTGCTGGCCCATATAGTTTCAGCAACGTCAGGAAGATGGAGGGGCTAGTGGACGATCGCATCCAGCAGTGGACTGACAAGCTGGAGGAAGTCTTCGGTGATGGCAGTAGATTTGACTTTGCGCCATGGGTACGCTTCACACTATCGTTATGCTGGCGATCAGGGGCACTGACACTTGATACAGGCAGTATATATGGCATATGACATCATATCGGAGATCGGCTTTGGCGCACCCATCGGATTCATCGAGAGCGGCTCCGATATCGACGGCTTGATCAAAGGCTTCCACGATGGTCTACTTCCTTTTGGTCTAATGGCTCGGCTCTGGCCGTTTACACAATGGGCGAAAGGCACATGGTTCGGCGAGAAATATCTTGTGGCGAAGCCCGAGGACGACTCTGGTATTGGCACGCTGATGCGCTTCCGTGATAAGCTCATTGCCAAGCGAATCCAAGATATCGAAGCTGGTAAAGTCGACAGAGTCGATCTGCTACAGACTTTCCTGGATGCAAGAACAGAGGACGGTGCACCGCTGGATTTGGACTACATCAAAGCTGAAATTCTTCTCGTACTACTGGCTGGCGCTGATACGACAGGAACTGCATTCCAGGCGATGGTTGCGTACATTACCTCTGATGCTCAAGTATATGCGAAGTTGATGGAAGAGTTAGATCGGGTCACTCGCGAGGGCAAATTGAGTTACATGCCGCAGTATGACGAAGTGTTAGAGCATTGTCCATACTACGTTGCCTGCGTCAAAGAAAGTATGCGGTAGGTCATACTCATCTTCTTCATTGTCATTCTCGTATACTGACGAATACAGTCTCTGTCCCTCCGCTCCGAACATCTTCCCTCGCGTTGTGGGTTCGTCAGGGATGCACCTGCATGGCCGCTACGCGCCGCCTGGTACCGAAATAACCTGCAACCCCTGGCTCGTGCACCGCGATGAGAGGATCTATGGTGCAGATGCCTGTGATTTCCGTCCAGGAAGGTGGCTCGAAAGCGAGGAAAAAGCAAAGGAGTACAACAAGTATAACATGGGCTTTGGCTATGGCGCGAGAGTATGCCTTGGAAAAGATATCGCGCTCATGGAGTTGTACAAGGCCCCGTTGCAATTCTTCAGGACGTTCAATATTGAGATCGACGAAAGCCGCAAAGGCAATTTTGTAGTCAAAGGTGGTGTAGGATTCTGGGAGGACATGTGGATCGGTATCAAGCGGCGGAAGACGGCGTCGTGATACAATAGATCGAGATGGCCGTTAAGTGTATGCTAGTCAGTACTCAGCGCTGAAGTCCTCAAATCTAAATGATGGATGGTGCAATGGTACTTGTTGACGCAATGACGAGCTGGTGATCTAGACCATCCCGTCCCGACCTCGTCACGTGCTGGCGCGGCGATCTACCGCTAGCGAGATCTTGGCGAAACAACTCGAAACGACCGCAATTACGCTACCCATTCTACGGTCCGCGCCTCAGCAACCCAACCACTCGCAGCTCTCACCTTGCCTTTGTACAGGCGCGGCGGCCCCCGCACTGGGGTGCACTGCAAATGTTTCCGAGATGATCCTCGATTGGCGCCGTCTTCTTGGTCCAGGCCTCAGGCCCCAGCGGAAATGGCTTGTTTCATTGCCCGCCTGGTTATATAGGGGAGCAACTCCAACATGACGACGACCTGCTACCGCTTTCACGATCATTCGCATCGTTTACATTCTTTTTACCGTCTCTCACAGACACACTGACCTGGTTCGCTGGTCGTTCGCTCTTTATTTCGTTCCTCGCTTTGTTTGATCATCTGCTAGCATCATGATGCACTCTGCTTTCTTTTTTTCCCTGCTTGCCGGTACGGCCTTTGCTCAGTATGGCGATAACAGCTACAACGCCCCTGCTGGAGGCTCGAAGCCTGCTCCCTCCGTTACAGCACCTGCTGGGTACGGCACACCCGCTCCAAACCCGATTGCGTCCCTGGTGCCCATAGTACCCATCGTCTCTGTCATTACATCCGCCCTCGGAGCTATACCCTCAGGATTCCTTCCCGACAATGATCTGCCCAACCCTTTCAAGTCCATCTATATCCCGGCATCCCAGCTATTCAACCCTGCTATTGCACCTGCTTTCACAGAGACTGCCGCGGTCCCTCTTCTGTCCCTCTTGCCGGTCTACTCTACCGTATCCAGCTCGTCCGTTGTCGAGCCTACCGGCTCTGCTGAATACCCGGTAGCTCCTCCTACCGTCAAGCCATCCAAGCCTGCAACCTCCACGACTTGCACCGAGAGCAAGGCCCAGAGCACCCGCGTACCCCTAGACGCTACTCGTTCATCGGCTGCCCCTCAGAAGCCTACCGGCACAAGCTCGGCAGCTACCTCTACCGTTGCGACATCCAAGCCTGCAACCTCCACATCTTGCACCAAAAGCAAGGCTCAGAGCACGCGCGTGCCCCTCGACGCTACCGCTTCATCGCCTTCTCCTCAGCGTCCTACCGGTACAGGCTCAGCAGCAGCCTACCCCACCGGAACCGGCATGCGTCCCTCTGGCAACACACGCCCCTCTGGCACTCCTCGCCCAGACTACTTCCACAACGGCAGCCGTCCCCAAGACGGCTTCGGCTGGGGTCGCCCTAGGCCTTCTGGCAAGTGGCCTCACGCCTACCCCAAGCCTACCCATGCAGCTCATCGCCCCACCAAGCCTTCTGCTGCCCAGGGCTACGGAGGTGTCAAGCCCAGCAGCACGCCTTGCACTTTGGAAACCAGGGTCAGGCCCAAGGCTACCCCCGCCCCTGCTCACTACTAGAGAGCAAATACAACTTGAAGGTATCGCTTCCTGGATTATAATTATGTAAACGTAGTTCATGTATATACCTTATTATCCACAGACCTCCGAGTGGGGTAATACAGCACATGCAGTTGATAGGCGATGCGCCTGTTGCGGTTGTCATTGCCAAGTTTCTTGTCTCGCGTGCGTTCGACTTGATTCATCATCTTTCACCGCTGTCACCTGAAGGCTAGCCAGTTTCCTTAGCATACAACTTCACCGTCTTACATGTCTCCAGTATCGTATCTATGCCAGCGCGATAAGCTTTCCTAACGTCTATCTACGATTGCCTAATCAGTTCGGACTCATCGCGATGAGTGTGGACCTTCCGTCCCTACGAGTTTGTACCACAACACCGGACTAGCGGGCTTGGCGGGCAAATGCGCTCTCTCACTTTCCCACACACTCGCAAATTTACTCATCTGCTTTCGCTATTGACTGCTGATTCGAATCTTCTCTTACAGCTTGAACAATCTCTCATATCACTTCGCGCACCCGCGGCGATGGCGGAACACACAAAACTCATCACGATCGATCCCAACGGCGACACACTGCTCAAGCTCAAGGACATCCGCTGGGAGCTACCGGAATGGATCGACGAAGCCACTCGTTTCGCACCGCCTGCTGAGACTACCGAGTCATCACACAAGGATACTGCGATGGAAGGTGCGGACGGGAGCGACCAGCGCAAGCACCCCGAGGAAGTACACTTCTTGGTGTCATCACGTCAGCTGCGCCTTGTGTCTACCTACTTCGATAACATCTTCAAGAAGAACTTCGCCGAGAGCGTTGCCGACCCCGCGGATGGAAGATACCATATCTGGGCTACTGAGTGGAACCCTACGGCGCTGGAGCAACTTCTGATTGTCGCGCATGCTCGAAACACAGGTCTGAAAGACCACGTCGATCTCAACGAAACGGTAGAGATGGCTTTGATAATCGATTACTACGACATGCGGGAGGCGCCATATGCCCACTCCAAGAAATGCTCTCTTCGATGGGGCGGCAACAACCACTGCTCACGAGCAGCTAACCACATCCTCGGTAGCAACTTTGTTAAGCGGGTGTTCTTGTCATACGTGTCCCAATCAAATGAGGTCTTGGGGAGAGCGATAGACATAGCAAAGAAGCACAGCAAGGGGCCACTACAAGATCTAGGATTACCATTGGGCAATATCCCAGGTGAGATTGCACACCACCCTATCACGTCAACCAAGAAAAAAACTGAACAGGCTTGCAGTCTACATCAACATGAAAACCTACAAAATAGGTGACCTGGCGTCGATGTAGGCTCTAGACCTGTTCAGTTTTTTTCTGGTATGAGGTGCTATCATAAACAATCTAGCTAATGTATGCGAGAAAAGTTAGAAGAGCACCGACAGCAGGCCATCAAATCAATCGTCGACCAGCTGGACAGTTTCATCGAACGTCTTCGCAAAGGTGAAGAATGCTGCAGCTTCACTTGCCGAGCATCCGTTCTTGGCTCTTTGATACTGCTCAAGCAACCTGGTGGACTATCGTCGGCTTTAGGAGGCACTGTTTCACCTCCTTACTACGGAATAAGTCTCCAGGAAGCCCATGCTGCTGTGCGGGCTACAGTGACCCGGAAAGAATCTTCTGTTATGGTTGGCAAGATAATTCTGGACCAAGCATATATGCCCGTAGGAGCGTGCAAGGAATGCGACTTCAGGGGTTTATTCGACCAAATCATGAAGAAGGCCGACGAGGATCTAAACTTCAAACTCGATCTCAGTCCGTCCAAAGTCGTCAAATCCTCGAAGTGAGGGTTCAGGGAAGATATCCAAGATGCCGACGTCTATGCAGGGTAGCGATGGATGACCATGTATCAGCAAGTGAATGAAGGATGAAGGGTAGCCGAGGAAAGAAAGGTGCAAAACTGCCAGAGTCGTCTGACACCGCTGAACCTTCAAATGAAAAGCTGATATCGCACTGAGTAATAAGTGTCTCATAGTCAAAGTTCCAATCTGTCATCGCAGCATACTTATACTGACGCCGTGTACTATGACTCATCTTCAAACTCAGCTACATTATAGTTGCCATCCACTTTATCCACTCGTACTGCGATGACGGAGAACACACACCCAAGGTACCATCAACCAAACTACAGTTCTACTTCGTAGAAAAAGGATAGCCTGCAGACTCAAACATCGAGGTCAGAACGGGCTGGAATAGACGCAGTGGTAGTAGTAGTAGTGGTAGTAGTAGTATTGCGATGACGCAGAGCGTAAACAAGCCACGTACAACTATGCGGTTCTTGCTGCCGACTTGTCTGTCTCACGTGAGCCCGACTGCTTTACTAACACTCCACTCTTGTTCTTAGCAGCGCAATCCAACGTGAGAGCTTGCCAAGCAAACACGCTTTTTCTGACCATTAATCTCTCTCGCACTTGCTCTCATTTACCCAAGACTCAACCAATTCCGCGCACGCCTCCGCCACGATGGCCTCAGAACCGAAGCTAGTGACGATCGATCCCAACGGCGACACCTTGATCATCTTGGAAAATCCGAAGACCTGGCTACTGGACCCGACACTAGGACAACAGCTGGAAGTGAAAGACGATACCGATTCTGACATCGATTCCAACAGCGACGAGTCTATCGCTTACGACGCGACTGAACACGCATCTCACGACAGCGCCGCGAACGAAAGCTCATCCCCGCCCGCAGTCAAATTCCTCGTATCGTCGCGCCAGTTGCGCATCGTGTCGTCCTACTTTGACAGCATATTCAAAGGTGGCTACAACGAGACAGTACTGAACCCCGCCGACGGCTTGTATCACATCAGAGCAGAAGGTTGGGATGCGGAGGCTATGGAGGTCATCATGAACATTGTTCATGTCCAGGTCAAGCGGATACCCGAATACGTCTCGTTGGAGCTCTTTGTCAAGATTCTTGTTCTTGTCGATTACTACCACATGCAAGACGCGATTGCTTCTCATGCAACGCTGTGGATGTCGCAGACCATAGGGTCCGACAGGCCTACAAGCTATAGCGCGAAAGCGGTCTATTGGCTTTTCTTGGCTATTCGAATGGGGGATCGCACACTGTCCAGGAACATGGCGCGCGTCATTATTACGACTGCATCCCGCCCGATTACATTCCAGGGTCTTCCCTTTCCGCCAGAACTCGAGGGTAGGAAAGCTCCATTCTACGGACAGACTCATGCTAATCCAACCGATAGATGAAATGAACACATTGCGACGAGAAGCGCTAAAGGTCTTGCGTGTCCACATCAAAACTCTCAAGGAAGACCTACTTGAAGGCCGAGAAGGTTGTTTCCCAGCGTGTGAGGCCATGCTACTGGGATCGCTCCTAAAAGGGCTACGAGGCCTCAACCTACTTCGATACATCGATGGCGTCGAGCGGGATGTAATGCTCGAGCATGCGTGGGACGGGCTAATGGCTATCCAGACTCCAGATTGGTGCGAGCCGGCAGTACCCGGGAAGTCACATCTTTGCGATGTGGGACTGCGTCTTCGGATTTTCGTTACGGAATCTGTTCAGGTGGTGAACAGTGGGCTACGGGCACTCTCACTCTTAGACTGATCGACGAATCAGGCGTTTGGCGGGCGAGGTGCTGTAGTTCCTTCGCGATAGCTTGCTAGGAGGGTTGTATAGTAGGCCATCGCGATTTGTATGATGCAAAAGGCATGGGAAGGTCTGTTGCAGAACAGTGGAGTTGGGAGGGCATGCACAATGTTAAGACACATGGTTACATAAGGCTACCAGCAAGGTTGAGAAGGTGGTAATACCAAGGGCCTAGTCAAAAGAAAACCGCGGTGAGCTTGCAAAATTAGAACGAAGTAAAAAGAGTGGCGCGGAAAAGGTCGAGTATTGCGGGCTGCGCGGACGATGATTCATTCACTACCAAATACGTGAACGTTCTTCGACAAGAGAAGAAGGATGCGCGCAACACCTCATCCCGGTCTACGACCCCAACTCTCCAATCTCTACTTCTTCGTACCCGAAACAACGAAAACCCAACGTCTTCATCCCAATCTACCGGCCGTCACAATTGTCTACTCAAATGCCCCCCTAACACAAATGAGAGAGATCGCAATCCTCAGAGTCTGATCCCCTGAAAGGTGGTGCCATGATCCACGCCGATGCGTGTGGATGGTCTTGATACCATTTCTCTACCTGTTCTGGATTCTTCCACTGATAGAACACTGGAGGAACCCGGACGGACGGAACTGATATTGTATAGGTTGGAGGAACCGGGGTGGACGCAGCTGTTAGTGTAATGTCAGTACTCTGGGAAGATCAACGCAGTTTCTCCGATGCTGTTTCAGTTCGTGCTCCCGGCTAGGATCAGAGCTTCTAACTCACGACCATCTGGCGCAAGTTTGAAGGGACCGACTGGGACCACTCCGTTGAAAGTGTTGTTGTGAGTACCGTTCTGGGTCCCGTCCTGGGTACCGTTCTGGGTACCGTTCTGAGTGCCGTGCTCAGTGCCGTTCGACTTCCCAGCTTCGAGCTTAGTCTCAGCGATCCAGGTTTCAACGTCGTTGAGAGCTTTGAGAGGGTCGCCGCGGCAGCCTTGGAGGTAGTTTTGCACTTGTGCTGGAGAAACTATGTTCCTATCAGTACGAAATTTGGATCTGAAATGCCATAACCACTTACATGTATTTGTGGGCATCTTCTCAGCGAACTCAGATGCCCACTCCTCGATCTGCGCCATGGTAAACTCAGCATCATGAGCGAGAGCTGATCGACCAATCAAGCGCTTGAAGATGCTCTTGCCCGCACTAGGGTCCATGTTGCCGAAGTAGACCTTCTTGTCGATGCGGCCGGGACGCGTTAGAGCCGCATCAAGCGTATCGGGAGCGTTGGAGGTCATGATCAAGAGTCTTCCTTCTTGAGAGGCGTTTCCGTCAATGGCGTTCAGCAGACCGCTCAGTGTGACTGTGTTCGATCTACGACCCAAACCTGGATAATCACGAGCCCGAAGTTTTGGTAGCGGACCGATGCCACCTGGAATGCCAGCGACGTCACCCAGGTTTTCATCCGCTTGCGCATGTGCTCCTGTTGGGGCAGCCGGCGGTGTTCGTTCGCGACCGATACCAGCAGAGTCGATGTCTTCCAAAACCACTACGCACTTGCGTGGAAGGCCTAGAAACAAGCGGTGAAGTGTTCCATCATTGATGCTACCGGTGGAAAGGTTGATGTGGTAGATGTCGCAGCCAAGATGGCCCGCCAATGCAGCGCTGAATGAGCTCTTGCCAGTACCCGGGGGGCCATGGAAGAGATATCCGCGCCGATATGGGATACCACAGTCGGCAAAGAATGACCGCGACTCCTCGCTGTAGTAGTATTCTGCGTCTCTGACGATATCAAATTTGGTAGTCTCATCCATGTCTATAGTGTCGAGCTTTCGAATGGCTTTGGAAACCGACTGCCAACCGTTACCGTATGGATCTGTACGATCTCCCGCGAAGTATACCGTTGTGGTACCTGTGAGGTTGTTGAGTCGGAACTCGCGACAGAGACTGGTGAATTGCTTAAGTGGTTTGAGGCTCCATCCGAGCGTCATGATAGTGAGGGAGTTTTGAAGCTGGCCACTATCGTCGAGCAGATTACCGGCCATACCACTGTTGGTCCGATAGCCAGCGCCACCTCGACGTGAGAATAGATACGGTCGAAATCCGACCCAAAATAGTCGTGTACCGATTGGCGGGAGACAAAGAACCTCATCGTCCGGTTTCTCGGATGCGAGTCGCGGGTTATGAGCCGCCATCATACGGCGATGAAACTCGTCATTGGGATCCTGTGTGCCCCCCGTGACCAGCATGGCACTCCTCGTGTGGCTGGTGAGTATCACCTCCGAGCCCATCCACGCCAGAACCTCTCTAGCGACAGGATCGGTCTCTGGAATGGTGACTTGAACAGTAAAGGCCCATGTAAAGAAATCTTTCAGATGCTTGTATGCAGGACGAACAGCTTGGTAGAGACCGATGAGTGCGAGGAGCTTTTCAAGGTCGCCGATGCCGCTTGGCCGGAGTCGATATAGTAGACGCTGGATAACCTCTAAGATGGGGAACTGACCTGTCGCAGAGCGTTTGAGGTGATGCGGGATGAGTCCGGGTGTGTCCAGGCGCTCGGGCCAGAGCTGGTCACTCATTCCAGGTGGAACCATGAGCTCGTATCGTGGGTCAGACATTGCGGCGGGCGGTTGAGGGCGATATTCCCATGTAAGGTTGCGTGGACGAGCTATGACCGCGGTTTCTATACGCGTGGAGATGTATTGAAAAGATGAAGGAAGTGATAATCTCCAAGTTTTGGAGATTGCCGTGTATGTGCTACGCGCCGTGGGTAGGCATTGTTAGACAACCGTGGGTGAGTTGAAATTATGATGGAGTGTCGAGAAAGAGTGAAAGCAATGTGATGATGCGCGGAAGAGGCACGTCGAATAAACAGTGGCGCGGTCATGGAAGCGACTGCCTGGACGTTGGAGGTCGAGGCTGAACGGGCTGAACGGCAAGTTTGCGCGAGACCGCATGAGGCGAGAGAGGCTGTGGCATGAGCGCGTTGGGACTAAGCCTAATCGGGCCAGGTGGGCTGTTTACAGCTGTACGTCATAGCTAATTATTCTAACAGAACTTCTAGGCTTTTTGCACGAACGTTTTACTCTCGTCTTTGAACTTTGCAATTACCAGGATCACTCAGGATATCTCCATTCGAAAAACGTTTCACATCCCAGTACCATCCAAAACAGACAGCTTCAATTCACCATGCCTCCCAAAGCAAACACTTCCGACCTTCA